ACGGGGGCAGATGGTGGAGGAAGACAGTAGACCCTGCTGTCCATGGTTCAATCATGGTCTCCACAGTAGCCATAATCCAGCCTGGATCTGACAGGCACCACACGAAATCAGAGGTCTTCAGCTGCAGTACTTCCCTGCTGACTCCAAAATACAGTGGCCTCAGCTTTGTAACCACAGGAGGATGTGACTGAGGGCTTGAGAATCTGGTTCTCAGACAGCGAGCCACCCGTCTCACTCTCAAGTCATGTGGTTTGTGTGGGGCACCAGACTCACCCCCACCCCAGTCCCAAAGGCACGCCAATCGGATTTCCTGATCACACGCCACTTCAACTGGTCCATCATAATGATCCTTAAGGCTGGGAATACTGGGATGAAGTCTGTTGCTCTTTTTCAGGATTCATATCTGTTATTGGTACAGTTTTAGGCAATGGTGGCAGCCATTGGGGACAATAAGGGAGGGGCCTTTCTGAGAACAGCATCAAAACATAACAGAAACAGCCCGAGCTGGTTTGACTCAGTGTTTAGAATGTTAAACCATGAACTGAAGGGTCTTGGGTTTGATTCTGGTCAAGGGCATGTGCCTCAGTTGCAGGCAGCCCTGGTTGGGGTGTGTGTGGGAGGCAACCAATTGATGTGTCTCTCTTACATCAATGTTTCTCTCTCTCTCTGTCTCTCCCCCTCCCACACTCTCTAAAAATCAATGAAAAATAAATATCCTCATGTGAGGATTAACTACAAAATAATAATAATAATAAAACAGAGGGTTGGGTGCACTAGAAGGAGGGAATGGGAGGGAAAGGGAACATATGTAATACTTTGAACAATATACATTTAATATTTTAAAACACACACACACACACACACACACACACACACACAACAGAAATAGCTGGTAGATGGAGAGACAGAAAATTTAATCCCGTGGCTACTCAGCTAGGTTTGAAGCATTTCTCCACCCTACTCTTACTGCTTCTGAGGGACCTCTGTGTGCATAACTCCTTGAGAAAAATTCAAATCTCCCATGAAGAGCTGTGGCTATGCAGAGCTCTTCTATTAGTAGGGAGGGGCCTGGAGAGCCAGCCATTCACACTCCCTGTTCCCATCTCTCTGAGGGCTGTGGCACACCCACAGGAAATTACATGCCAGGGACCTCTGTTCTGAGCTTCAGACCCAACTGCCCACTGAACATCTCTTCTGGGACGTCTCTCAGGCATCTCACACCCACAGCATCCTAATCTCTCCTGCCTCCCGGGACTAATTCTTCTCCAGTGCTCTCTGTGTTTCAGTGAATGTCATTACAGCCCAAGCTCAAAACCTGGGAGTCCACCTTGACTCTCCAGCCCCTCTTACCTCCCACATCTAGCCAGCACACCCTCCCATTTTTTTTCCAAACCATTCTCCACCATGCAGGACAGTGATCTTTTCAAAATGCAAATTGGATTAGGTCTCTCCCTTAACCTGGGAGCACCTTGACTCTCCAGCCCCTCTTACCTCCCACATCTAGCCAGCACACCCTCCCATTTTTTTTCCAAACCATTCTCCACCCTGCAGGACAGTGATCTTTTCAAAATGCAAATTGGATTAGATCTCTCCCTTGTTAACAACCTTTCAATACACCAATAAGCTTATTGTTTTCCCAATAAGCTTATTATTATTCAGTCTCTGCACCAAAGTCCCCATGACCCTGAGTGCTCTGGGCCCCACTCAGTTTCTCATCTGTGCCTCTCGGACACCTGCAGCAACAGCTCCTCTCAAATCTCTGTAGTTCTATGAGTGCTACTTTTTAAAATATATATTTTTATTGATTTTAGAGAGGAAGAGACTGGGAAAGAGAGATAGAAACATTAATGGTGAAGAGAATCATTGATTGACTGCCTCCTGTATGCCCCACACCATGGATGGATCCCACAACCTGGGCACCTGCCCTGACCTGCCATTGAGCCATGACCTCCTGGTTCATAGGCTGATGCTAAATCACTGATCCATACCAGCTGGGCTATGAACACTACCTTTTATATCTTTGTGCCTTTGCCTGTATTATTCTAACTACACAGAAAACTTTCCCCTTCTTTCCACCCCCATTCCTCCAGGGTTTTGCTGATCAAGTGATATCATCAGCACAGATACCCAGTGTCCAAAAGACACCTTCTCTGCCCCCTGGTCTGCTTAATAAGGTACAAAATACACAGAACTTTGCCAGGGCTGAGCAGCAGATTCTGAGAGATGAATGAACAGATTACTTTGACACATTTGTCTGTGAAAGAGAAGGCTAAGGGGCTTGTTTGGCTTTAGGAACCAAAACAGCCCCGATTGCCTGCCCTGTTAGCCTTTTATTGTAACAACGGCTTGAACGAAATTAACCTCTAGATACAATCAGCAGGGTAAATATCTGGGAGAAAGCACCTGCTTCTTCAAGGTCGGGTCTTAAAGACTAAACATAGAGATTCCAGCAAAACACCCAGGGGATTGGCCTTGTTTGGAAAAGTCAAGGCAGGGGCTGCTGCCTTTGACAATGTCCCCCCAGAGGCTCCTGACCTTTTCAAATTCCTCCTTACAGACTTGCCAACCAAGGCCCATACTTCCCCACAGAACTTGGTCTGCTCTGAATATTACTCCTTGGGGAGGAGGAAGTAGGAGGGAAAAGATGTTTAAAATTGATTACATGGTTAACCCAAGGCTATGTCTTCAGCCTCTACAATTATTGATTTTAGGTTAAAGGCAGTGGCCTGGTTCCAGGTATTACTTCCCCCTAATGGTTCATGACTGGAAAACTTCACCTCTGTATCTGTACAGATCACATAGCTAGAACTTTCTGTCCTCCTCCCAGCAAACCTGGAACCAGTGACAAAGACACATGGCTTGTCATTTGTGCAGCTTGCAGAATGTCTGCTGCCTCCACCCACATTACCTCCACAATCTTGGGGAAGCCGGTGGTGCCACTGGTAAAGAAGATGACCATTGGGTCCGTGGTCTTTGACTTAATACAGGTGTGATCTGGGGATGCTGATCTACAAAGGGATTGAACAGAAAAGGAGAGAAGTCAGGTCTGGCTCCACCCTCAGGGTCAGCAAAAGACACAACATGAGGCTCAAAGTCAGAGACCTCTTTTGCTTGTATAGATTTTAGAGAGAGGAAGGGAGAGAGAGAGAGGGAGAGAGAGACAGACAGACACACACAGAGAGAAACATGGATTTACTGTTGCACTTATTTATGCTTTCATTGGTGGATTTTTGTATGTGCCCTGACCAGGGATCACTCCCACAACCTTGGCACTCTAACCAACTGAGTACCTGGCCAGTGCAGAAACTGGGGTTTTGTAACACTGGAGGAAGAACTGTCCTCCATGCACAAGAACAATGGACAGGCTTGCTTAAGGCAAAGATAAACCTTTCACCAGAGAAGTTATGTGTCAGGGGCCTGAGTCCCTGCCATGCTCTGCCCAGTCAGGAATTTATGATCAGATCACCTGAGAGGTTAGTTCCACTGAGCCAGCTGGGCTGCACTGGATCAGGAAACAAGTTTGGGGCAGAATAAGGGCCCTTGGAGTTGAGGAGAGCGAAAGGCAAAGGTAGCGCCAGGGGAAGGTGAGGGCCTGCTCCTCGAGGGAGAGCCCCAACTTTCGGACCTTAGAGTCCAATACAAGGTGTGACTTCACTGTGTTTGCCTTTTGGAGTTGAATAACATTTTACTTTAAAAATAGAAGGGTTACTTCAAGAAAACAAAGCCAGTGCAACTTACACGTTATAAAACAATGTTACCTCAG